GTTGGCTATTGAGTCCTTTTATTAAGACCATAGTATTATTTGATATCTTCCTTTTTATCTGGTATGTATGAGATGAACCTGAATGTTTTTTGCTCCAGACCTAGAATTGGCCGTTTCTCTGAAGAGCCCTTTTCCCTTTTAGTGGTAAATTCATATTTACAGACAGTAACGTAGGTACTAGAGATGCTTGTTGCTACTGGGTTGACCATTTTTTAAAGACTTTTTCAGTGGACAAAACTCAGAAGTATATGTTTTAAGGCTATGTCATGAATTCAAATCGGTACTTTGAACTCAAACTTAGGAATTAGGGTTTTACTTTTCATATGCTCTCCCCATTCTTTTTAGTCTTATTCTTGATAATGGCACTCTCTTAGCATGTCTGGGCATGCATTGTTTTTTATTTTTTTTTTTTTTTGAGTTGGAGTCTCACTCTGTTGCCCAGACTAGACTGCAGTGGCCACTCCCAGCCACCGCAGCCTCGATCTGCTGGGCTCCGGCGATCCTTCCGCCTCAGTCTTCCAAGTCGCTGGAACTACAGGCACGCGCTACCACGCTACCCAGCTAGTTTTTGATTTATTGTAGAGATGAAGTCCTGCCAAGTTGCCCTAGTGGGTCTCGAACCCACGGGCTCAGGCAATCCACTCACCTCAGCCTCCCAAAGGCGCGGGATTACAGGCTGAGCCACTGAGCCCAGCTGCATTATTTTTTATTACTTGTACAAATTATCACTCTCACGGACTTTCCTCTTTCCTTGGTTTCCTTTTTATTCATGGCTTGTAGACTACTCTGACTCACAGTGATTTCAGATTCATAGCATGCATAACTCTTTCTTAACAATCGTCTGATACTCTAGGGTTTACTGAGTTTCAAATGTTGAAGTTAGCATAAACAGAAAAGTACATAAATATTACGTTTCACATGCTCTTACCAGCACTCTAGAAGTCTGTTTTGTGTTTCCTAGATGCTACTCTCACTTCTAAAAAAAGAAAAAAAAAGATTGTCCTGATTTCTAATAATTTCGATTAGTTTTTTAGTTTTGTCCTCCTTTAGGATACTTTAAACTTTTGGTGTTTTAGCATTCATGGCTTTTGTGGGAAAGGGAGATCTTTCAAGCTCTTTCCAATTCTAACTGTATTTCTAGGTAACCACCATTAAGAAAAGATGTGCCAGGCGCTGTGCCTCACACCTGCAATCCCAGTACTTTGGGAGGCCTGGGCAACATTAAGAGACCTCGTCTCTACGATAAATAAAAAATTACCTGGACATGGTAACACGGGCCTGTAGTTCCAGCTACTTCGAAGGCTGAAGTGGAAGGAGCTCAGCAGGTCGAGGTGCAGGGGCCGTGAGCAGTATGCCACTGCACTCCACTGAGTGATGAGTGAGGCTCAGACTCAACAAAAAGAAAATAGGCCGGACACGGTGACTCAGGCCTATAATCCCAGCACTTTGGGAAACCGAAGTGAGAGGATTGCCTGAGCTCATGGTTTCGAGACCTGCCTGGGCAACTTGGCAAGCCCTCATCTTTACAATGTATCAAAAAATTATCCGGGCATGGTGGCGCGTACCTGTAGTTCCAGCTACTTAGAAGGCTGATGCGGAAGGATCACCTGAGTCCAGCAGGTCGAGGCTGCAGTGGCCATGAGCATGCCATTGCATTCCAGCCTGAGCAACAGAGTGAGACTCTGACAATGCCCAGCTAATTTTTTTAATTTTTAATTTTTATTTATTTTTTATTATAGAGATGAGGTCTTGCCAAGCTTTCCGGGCTGGTCTTGAACCTGAGGGCTCAGACAATCCTCTCACTTAGGCCTCCCAAAGTGCTGGGCTTATAGGCATGAACCTCTGCTCCCGGCCTAGGAACTCTAATTTTAAGGACTGTTAGACTTTTACCTATTTTAAGGCAGATGTTCTTTCCCAGTCTGTCGTTTTTTAGACTTTATTGCTTACTGCTCTTAAAATGTTGTGTAGTATAACTTAATTATTGAGCTTTGTGTCCTGCATAGGAGGGCCACCTCCACTCAAGATTATGTTTTAAAAAAACCCATAATTCTATATTTTCTTTTTCTTTTTTTTGAGTTGGAGTCTCATTCTGTAGCCCAGGCTGGAGTACAGTGGCCGCTCCCGGCCACTGCAGCCTTGACCTGCTGGGCTCCGGTGATCCTTCCACCTCAGCCTTCCAAGTAGCCGGAACTACAGGCGCGTGCTACCACACCCAGCTAATTTTTTTGATTTATTGTAGAGGTGAGGTCTCACCAAGTTGCCCGTTGGGTCTCGAACCCACGGGCTCAGGCAATCCACTCACCTTGGCCTCCCAAAGTGCAGAATTACAGGCTGAGCCACCAAGCCCGGCCTATATTTTCTTTTAGTTAGGTTTTTGTTGTTGTTGTTGAGTTTTTGTTTGTTTATTGAGTCAGGGTCTTACTCTGTCACCCTGGAGTACAGTGGCATGATCACAGCTCACCGCACCCTTGATCTCCTAGACTTAGGTGATCCTCCCACCTTAGCCTCCTGAACTGCTACAATTATAGATGCATGTCACCATGCCTAGCTAATTTTTTGGGGGTTTTTTTTTGTTGTTGTTTTTGAGTTGGAGTCTCACTCTGTCACCCAGGCTAGAGTACAGTGGCACGCTCACGGCCACCTCAGCTTCGACCTGCTGGGCTCAGGTGATCCTTCCACCTCAGCCTTCCAAATGGCTGGAAATACATGCACACACTACCTCACTCAGCTAATTTTTTGATTTATTATAGAGATGAGGTCTCACCAAGCTGCCCAGGCTGGTCTCAAACCTGTGGGCAACCCTCTCACCTTGTCCTCCCAAAGTGCTGGGATTATAGGCATGGACCACCGCACCTCGCCCTAATTTTTTTTTTTTTTTTTAATTGTGCAGTCGAGATCTTGCTATGTTCCCCAGGCAGGTCTTGAACTTTTGGGCTCAAACAATTCTCCCACCTCAGCCTCCCAAAGTGTTGGAATTACAGGCATGAGCTACCGTGCCTGGCTTAGTTAGGTTTTATATCTGCTTGTTTATATCTCTGATCCATCTGGGTTTGAATGCAGTGTGAGGTATTCATATCAATGTTTAAACATAGATAGTATGTTTTAATATCTTTTAGCCTTTTCCATTAAAAAAACTTGCTTGAGCCGGGCTTGGTGGCTCAGCCTGTAATCCCGCGCCTTGGGAGGCTGAAGTGAGTGGATTGCCTGAGCCCGCAGGTTCGAGACCCGCCTGGGCAGCGAGACCTCATCTCTACAATAAATCAAAAAATTAGCTGGGCATAGTAGCACATGCCTGTAGTTCCAGCTACTTGGAAGGCTGAGGCGGAAGGATCGCCGGAGTCCAGGTCGAGGCTGCGGTGGCAGGGAGCGGCCACTGCACTCCAGTCAGGGCGACAGAGTGAGACTCCCAACTCCAAAAAAAAAAAACAAAACTTGAATTTTATCTACCTGTGACTACTGTTCTTTTCCATTTTCTGTTAAATTTTAGAAAAAGTTTCCACTTGGTTTCCACTTCACCTTTTTTTGTCAAGTTGGTGTTGCTTGCGTGTATTCAGCCTTGCCATTACACTGAAACTGCTTATGCCAAAGGAAGCCTTGCCTTCTTTTTACTCAACCCAGTGGGCTGAATTTAGACCCCCTTTTTTCTGAGCAGCATGTATCATTGTTGGATACTTTCTCTTTGAAATTTATATCCTTTGTTTTCCTTTTTTTTTTTTTTTTTTTTAATTGGAGTCTTACTCTGTTGTCCAGGCTGGAATGCAGTAGTACATTCACTGTCACTGCAGCGTCGATTTGGGCTCAGGTGATCCTTCTGCTTCAGCCTTCCAAGTAGCTGGAACTACAGGTGTGCACCACCATGCCCGGCTAATTTTTTTATTTATTGTAGAGATTAGGTCTCGCCAAGTTGCCCAGACTGGTCTGGAACCCCTGGGCTCAGTCAGCCCTCTCGACTTGGCCTCCTAAAGTGCTAGGATTGCAGACTTGAGCCACCGCACCTGGCTTTCTTTGACTTCTTATGATATAATTTTTTTCCAGTTTTCTTTCTACTTTCCTGGCTTACCCTTCTCATTCACATGTGCAGCCTCTTTCTTTTTGTCTCCCAAATATTGGTATTTTCTAGAATTTATCCAGTTACATTCTCTACAGTATGTATTTGAGTGATGACATCATTGAGTGTTGTGCCATCCTTGATTGATGCCATTAGTCTTAAGACTTCCGTTATCAGCTATATTCTGATAATTCCCAAGTTTCTAGGTTTACGTCAGCCTTTTAAAAAAATGTATTTATGCCCCATGGCATTTAAAATTAAACCCAGCTGGGCGCGGTGGCTCACATCTGTAATCCCAGTACTTTGGGAGGCTAAGGTGAAAGGATTGTCTGAGCCCACAGGTTCCAGACCTGCCTGGGCAAGTTGGTGAGACCTTGTCTCTACAATAAATTAAAAAATTAGCAAGGCATGGTAGCGTGAGCCTGTAGTTACAGCTACTTTGGGAAGTTGAGGTAAAAGGATTACTTGAGCCCAGCAGGTCGAGGCTGCAGTGGCCATGAATATGCCACTGTACTCCAGCCTGGGCGACAGAGTAAGACTCCAACTCAAAAAAAAAGAAAAAAAAAGACTAAACCCATCACCATTTCTTCCCCTCACCCCTCATACCAGTACCTCTTCCTGTGTTTACCATTTCAGTGAGTGAACAGATTCCTACCCCTACACAGAAACCTGTGTGTCATTTTTAAAAATTGAGACAAAAGCCACATAACATACAATTAACCATGTCCTCTCGCCTCTACCTCCCAAAGTACTGGGATTACAGGTGTGAGCCACTGTGCCTGACTTGGATAGTTTTTTTTACCCAGGGCTTCCTTATAATATATAAATGGGAGTGCTTTGACCATCATGTAGCATTTTATCTGCAAGGTATATTATACTCAAGTTCTATATTTACCTGATGAGTGAAAATTATGTGATAAAAAGTATTGATCAAGCTTTTCTTTTTTAACAGAACTCAACAAAAATCCAGTGGAAGGCTTTTCAGCAGGTTTAATAGATGACAACGATCTCTACCGATGGGAAGTCCTTATTATTGGTCCTCCAGATACACTTTAGTAAGTATAATGGAACTAACACCTTCAAAAGAAGCTCTTTAAATTAATTGAAATTAAAAATATTTTGGCAAACAGAAATGAAATTATTTTTTAAGGAGCAGGGGAAATGAATGTGTTCGGTATCATTTTTACTGAGTTTAATCATATTAAAAGTTTTTGTGAGCCGGGCTCCATGGCTCAGCCTGTAATCCCGCTCTTTGGGAGGCTGAGGTGAGTGAATTGCCTAAGCCCACGGGTTCGAGACCCGCCTGGGCAACTTGGCGAGACCTCATCTCTACAATAAATTAAAAAAAAAAATAGCTAGGTGTGGTAGCATGCGCCTGTAGTTCCGGCTACTTGGAAGACTGAGGCAGAAGAATTGCTGGAGCCCAGGGCGGTCGAGGCTGTGGTGGCCAGAAGTGGCCACTGCACTCCAGTCTGGGTGACAGAGTGAAACTCCAACTCAAAAAAAAAAAGTTTTTGTGGTGTTCTGCTTAAAGCTCTAATGTCTAAAACCTGTGCTTTTTAGAACATACAATGGTTTCAGAAATTGAGATACGCTCTATACGTGGAATAAATTTATTACAGAAAAACTTTTCTTTTTGGTGATATTAAATATAAATTAATATATTTTTTACTTGTGTTTCAGAAATTGGAATGTTGATTTGAGCAGGGTCAGGGAGAAGAAGAAAACTAAGTTGTTTTTTTTTTTTGAGTCGGAGTCTCACTCCATTGCCCAGACTGGAGTGCAGTGGCACGCTCCCGTCCACCGCAGCCTCGACCTGCTGGACTACGGTGATCCTTCCACCTCAGCCTTGCTTGTAGCCGGAATTACAGGCACACACTACCATGCCCGGCTGATTTTTTTTTTTTTTTAATTTATTGTAGAGATGAGGTCTCGCCAAGTTGCCCGGGCAGGTCTCGAACCCTCAGGCTCAGGCAATCCACTCACCTTGGCCTCCCAAAGCACTGGGATTACAGGCTGAGCCACTGAACCCGGCCAGAACATTTTTTTATCGAAATGTTTCTCCCTATCCTCTTAATCTTTGTGCTTACTGTGCTTTGACTCATTAAGGGAACATCATAATTTTAATGACAAAGGTTTGCCATTCTTTTTTTTTTTTTTGAGTTGGAGTCTCTCTTTGTCATCCAGGATGGAGTGCAGTGGCACGCTCCCGGCCACCGCGGCCTTGACCTGCTGGGCTCAGGCTATCCTTCCGCCTCAGCCTTCCAAGTAGCTGGAACTACAGGTGCGCGCTACCCCCTCAGCTAATTTTTTAATTTATTGTAGAGATGAGGTCTCACTGTGTTGCCCAGGCTGGTCTCAAACCCTCGGGCTCAGGTAGTCCTCTTGCTTCGGCCTCCCAAAGTGATGGGATTATAGGTTTGAGCCTCCGTGCCCAGCCAGGTTTACCATTCATAACACTTTATGGATTTATTAAGGCATAGGATTTCATATTTCTGGGACATTTTTATACAACATGTATTATACACATCAATGTTTTCAAGTTAGAGAGAACTTTTTTTTTTTTTTTTTTGAGTTGGAGTCTCACTCTATCACCCAGACTGGAGTGCAGTGGCCGCTCCTGGCCACCGCAGCTTCGACCTGCTGGGTTCTGGCGATCCTTCCGCCTCAGCCTTCTGAGTGACCGGAATTACAGGCACACATTACCATGCCCGGCTGATTTTTTGATTTATTGTAGAGATGAAGTCTTGCCAAGTTGCCCAAGTGGGTCTCGAACCTGCGGGCTCAGGCAACCCACTCACCTCAGCCTCCCAAAGCGCGGGATTATAGGCTGAGCCACCGAGCCCGGCTCAGAGAGAACTTTTAACATCATTTTAATTGTTCTCTATTTGGCTCCCTACAGAATACTTGTCAGAATCAAGGTGTTCTGACCCTAAGATAAACTAATGATCACTTGCTTCTAGTTTATAAAATTTATTGTTAGGCTATAAAATAACTTATTACCTGGCTGTCAGTTGTTGTTGAATAAATGATTTAAGTATAGACATTCTAGCAGTGTTAAAAAAAAACAACACAAGAAGAGAGACAGAATTTCTTAAATTTTTCATGTAATACATTTCTTAATTCAGAGACCATATTTTCTACTCTGAATGTTTGTAGACTAAGACTTACTAGGATTTATTAATCTTTATAAGATGTATCATGATTTCTTCATATTGGTGTTGAGTATGAGTTTCCATTCTTTTTATATATGTTGAGGTTTGGGCAAAAAAATGAAGTGACTTTCTCAAAGCCATACAATTGAGTGACCTACAGAACTAGATCTGAGTTTCTTGAGGACTGGACTATACGTCCACACTCATCCATAATCCTTGATGGTACTAAGTTGCTAAGGGTTTCAGTACACCAAATATTTTTTGTGTGTGATGGCCAAGTAGTTGTTTTTAGGTTTTCTAAGATAGTAGCTCTTTTTCTCCTCAGAATAACTGTTGTTGGCAAAGAAGATCCAGAGCTACTTCTCTACCAGGACAGACTGAGACATACAGAGTTGAGCCATAGTGTGGATGTTTGTGTTTTCTATAGTCTGTAATATATATAGTATACATGATATTGCCAATCAGAATTTTTGTTGATGTGCTTCCTGACAGTTTGCTTGCGTTGGTAAGTGTCGCAAACTAAGATATACCTGAATTTGGTCAGTCCACATAGTAATTGAAAACCATCTTGGAGGCATTTGCTCATAACCTTACTGTTATTTGAAAGCAAATTTCTTTTTTTTGTGTCAAGAGTCTCACTCTGTCACCCAGGCGGATGGAGTACAGTGGCACGCTGCTAGCAGCCGCTGCAGTCTCGACCTACAGGGCTCAGATGATCCTTCCGCCTCAGCCTTCCAAGTAGCTGGAACTACAGGCACGCACCACTACACCCAGCTAATTTTTGGATTTATTGTAGAGATGAGGTCTCAGCAAGTTGTCAAGGCTGGTCTTGAACCTATGGACTTGGGCAATCCTCTCACCTTGGCCTCCCAAAGTGCTGGGATTATAAGCATGTGCCTCCACGCTTAGCCTTGAAAGCAAATTTCTTAATTGATTTTGCACACAAAAACATGTATACAATCTGGTCTATATGCCTGATGAAGTTCAGGCTTATTCTAGTTTTTTCTCCAATATCTTGGGAGACGCAGTGACGTTCAGTGAGAGAATCTAGTTACCCTTACAATAGGTACAATATAATGAGCGAATTCTCCTAAACTGATGTCTGTATGGAGCATTAATTAGCAATTCAGGCTTGAGCTTCAATTCTAAGGGCTTCACTGAGTTTTTATCCCTTTGTCATATACAAGTATCTCTAAATATTATTAGCTGGTCCATATATACAGTCATGGTGCTGCATAATGATGTTTTGGTTGTTGATGGACCACATACGTGATGGTTGTCCCACAAGATTGTAATGGAACTGGAACTGAGAGATTTCTATCGCTTTGTGACATGGTAGCCCTCATAACTTTGTAGCACAATGCCCTGCTTATTTGTGGTGATGCCAGTGTAAACAAACCTATTGCACAGCCAGTCGTTTAAAAGCATAGTACTTATAATTAGATATAGTACATATACTTGATAATAAGTGACTGTTACTGGTTTATGTATTTACTGTACTTTTTATTGTTATTTTAGTGTGTACTCCTTCTACTTAAATATTTTTGAAAGTTAGCTGTAAAACAGCTTCAGGAGATATTCCAGCAGAAGGCATTGTCATCATAGGAGCTCCATGCATGTTGTTGCTCCTGAAGACCTTCCAGTGAAACAAGATGTAGAGGTGGAAGACAGTGATGTTGATGATCCTTACTCCATGTAGGCCTAGGCTAATGTTTTTTTGTGTGTTTGTTACAAAAAAATTTAAAAAGTAGAATAAAGTTTATATTATAAGGATATTTAAAAAATATTTTTGTATAGGTCTTACAATGTATTTGTGTTACAAAAAATTAAAGTACATGAAGTAAAAAGTAACATAAGCTAAGATTAATTTATTATAGAATAAAAAAAAATTGGGGGAAGTAAATTTAGTGTAGCCTAAGTGTACATTTTAAAGTCTGTAGTCATATACAGTGTCCTAAGCCATCACGTTCACTCACCACTCACTGACTCAGCCAGAATAACTTCTAGTTCTGCAGGATTCATTCATGGTAGATGCTCTATACAATATAGCCTTTTTCATCTTTCATTTTTACTGTTTTTTTTTTTAGTTGGAGTCTCACTCTTTCACCCAGTCTGGAGTGCAGTGGCACACTCATGGCCACACCCCAGCGTCTACCTGCTGGGCTCCAGCAATCCTTCCACCTCAGCCTTTCAAGTAGTCGGTGGTACAGGTGCACGCTACCATGCCTGTCTAATTTTTTTTTATTTTTCTTGTAGAGACATGATCTTACCAAGTTGCCTGGGCTGGTCTCAAACCCTAGGGCTTAGGCAGTCCACTTGCCTTGGTCTCCCAAAGTGCTGGGATTACAGGCTGAGACACCGAGCCTGGCTGAAGTTTATTGCTTCTATATTTAGATATGTTTAGATATACAAGTACTTACCATTGTTTTAAAATTATCAGCCAGGCTCAGTGGCTCAGCCTGTAATCCCGCGCCTTTGGGAGGCTGAGGTGAGTGGATTTCTTGAGCCTGCGAGTTCGAGACCCACCTGGGCAACTTGGCGAGACCTCATCTCTACAATAAATAAAAAATTAACCAGGTGTGGTGGCACACTTGTAGTTCCAGCTACTTGGAAGGCTGAGGCGGAAGGATCGCCGGAGCCCAGCAGGTCGGGGCTGCGGTGGCCGGGAGCGACCACTGCACTCCAGTCTGTGCAACCGAGTGAGACTCCAGCTCAAAAAAATAAATAAATAAAATTATCTACAGTATTAAGTATAGTAACATGCTGTATAGGTGTGTAGCCTTGGAGCAATAGGCTTTATCATAAAACCTAGTTGTTTTAGTAAACTGTGCCATCTAGGTTTGTGTATGTACACTCTGATGTGTTCCCACAACGTCAGAATTAATTGCCTAATGGTATTT